ACCAACACAAACAAGCTTGTTAATCCTTCCCTTTCTCCACTTGAGCAAGTCTCCACCTTTACCACAGCCCAGGTCCAAAACAGTGATATCGCGTTTTTTCTTCTGTCGCACCTTTTCTAAAAATTCCCCTGAAAAAGAGAAATCAGTCCTGGTAAACGATCGCTTTACTGTTATTTGCTAAAGCATAAACTGCAACCCTGGTGACCTGTGACTAACTTCTGCCTGACATGTGATAAAAAGAAAATAAACTATTAACACATTCAGTGATGTAATTAATCATGACTTTTGCTAAACATTTCAAAATATGACTAAGAGATAAATTATCTGATCCTGCAGCAGGAAAGATGAAAGAATATGTCTCTGGAATTTGAAACGGTTGACATGGGTTTCCAAATTTGATTCAACGTGAACTGGCACACACCTTAAATTCTAATACCTTTATAAGAAGACTCAACACTTGTCCATAGGAGAAAAGTTAACTGTTCATAATTTTCAGTACCTTTCACATTCCAACGCTGAGCGTCTAGCTCATTGTACACCTACGTAAATCAAAATGGACACGGGACCATCCGAGTACCTGATTTTCATAAAAGACGCCAAGCGTACCACCAAAAGAAATAAGAGCACGAGTCAAAAAAACCGTGCAAACCTCTTATTTTTACTCTCAGAACACCGAACACTCTGAAGTGAAAATGGAATCTTCACCCCAATCTACCAGACCACGATTATTATATACACGATTACTTATATATACAATTTAAATATTATATACACACAGTTATTTACATATATAATATAAATATCACATATCAGGAGTCAAATGGTTCAAGTTGCGGTTGGAAGCACAGTCATATTCTTCGATAGCTGAGGTACTCAGCCATTCAAAAACCGGAGGCCATACTCACTTCCAGAGCGCCTCTCCCTCCCTATCTATCACTCTGAGATTAATACTTTCCATTTGACTGCTGAAACAATCTCCATCAATACTTCTGCTTTTCATCGCCTCTAACATCTTTTTTTTCCTTTTTTAAAGATTTATTTATTTTTATACAAGAGCCGGGGTACAGGCCAGAGAGGCGGGAGGGTGAGAGGATTCACCAGAGACAGGACGGGAGCAGAACAGGCAGACGGACCAAAATACACTGCTGACGGGAGCAGCGGGTGAGACAGGAGAGGTCTGCCGCGCCATGTGGGCATCTCCCTGGACGGCCGGGAATCGAACCCGCGCTGCAGAGGCTGCGGACAGCTTCACAGCACTGCGCTCCACCCGCTCTGCCACCGGGGAGGCCCGCCTCTAACATCTTAAAGTAACTTCAACAGGAGCACGAGTGATCCATGTTCAACTTTCACAATGACCCTGAAGAACATAAATATCAGACTGAAAGAGTGGAAAACAACAATAATTACAAATCTTTGTTTCCGCACGGTAAGAGAGGAGAAATCCTCATGAAACACCATTCAGAGACATCTTCATCCAATCAAGGCGAACGCTCAGTCATTCACTAAAGTATAAGCACCAACCGGAAAGAGAACATGACAGAGAACGAGTATTGAGAAGACAACGGAAAAGCCAGAGAGCGAGCCTGGCACAGACCACACTGACTGTACCACGACAGAAAGACTGGTGTGGAGTACAACGACCCCAAAGACAGACCCCAGACAGTGCGACCACCCCACTGGGACAGCTGAAGCAGAAGGGAACACTGTGAAGATGCCGAGAGATTACTTTATGCTAAGCCTTAAGGTGTCCTTTCCAAAACTATCTGTCTTCCTAGTTATAAAAATAAACACACAATGTGGAGAATATGGCTGAACTTAAATACATTCACTCAACGCACAATGAAGAAATGACACTTCAGATAAAATACCCAAGGAAGGGTAAGTTACCTGCAGCATCACTGTGGACAGTGAGGAGAGGATGTGACAAGGTGGAAAGAAGTTAGGACGAGGTTCCCACGACTGCCTTTAAAGTATGGGCTAAAAGTGCCATAACATTAACCTAAAATAAGTAAGCTAGCAAGTAAACAAACAAACAAACAAACAGATAAATACATACAGAAGCTGACACTGATTACGGCCAGTCAAGTAAATGATATTTTTGTCGTGACATATGAGTAACAAAAACAAAGAGAGACAGAAAATATTAAAGTATGTTTGAAATAATGGGCCTAATTCCCATTCCTAATACTTTTTTTTTTTTTTTTTTAGTAGCAGCAGCAGAATTGACATTTGTATGCTTAATGTAGTTTATTTATACTCTTTATTTATTATTGTTTTTTCAGAATGGATAATTTTGCTTTCCAAAGAAGCAAACTATCATCCAGACTCGTAGAAAGTACCCACAATTATCACATTTATTTTTTTCTTTTGATGTAATCAAGAACGCAATCAAGAAAGCTTGCTCACTTTCCCTGAGGTGGGCTTAAACACAAGACGACCGAATAAAATCCTTACTGTGAATGACTTCAAAACACACTGGCTTTTTAAAATTCTCCAAACTCGTGTAAGAGTCTGAGTACTAGCTGTACAAAACAACAACTGTTATATTCTGAGTCATGCTCTCTGCACTGACTTCCATTTAATTTCAGAGGCAAGTTTCCACAGATAAAGGGCTGCCTCCAAACAGTTGAACGTCTTCACCAACCCTCAAAGGAAACTTTATTTCTCCCCAGACACCATATAAGAAAAACAAGTTCATATGGCCAGTCAACCCACATGACCTTTATCAGGTCATGAAAGGCTTCAAGATAAAAAACATGGCATTGCTCACCTTCCTCACTTAAGGGAACCTGGACGCTGAATCCAACTACTGTTGGCTATGCCACTGCTTCAGAACTATTAGAATGAAATGAAATAATTATGCAGTACCACCTGGTACCTGAATTCTCAGTATAAAAATAAGCACACTGCCTTTTGAGCCTGATTAGCTCAACTTAGCCCAGCCTATGTTGTCCACCCAGAGCCAATCTGAACAGAATTGATCTCAAAGGCCCAGCTTTAGTCTTTAGCTCCAATCCTATTACGCCAATGAGGTTTGACAACAGAATAAATAGAAATTAAAGACCTAGCAGTTTGGTGTATGATTAACCACCAGGGCAAAAAATGTAAGCCGCCAGTTGAAATAAAAACTCACACCATAAAAACAAAAACCAGTCCTACCGATGAGGATACTTTTCATCCAATTATTGAAGTTTCTTAGGTAAAATATTCGACTTTGGCTACGCATCTGCAAACCAACTTCCTTAAGTTCATTATAGTGGGCAGCCACTGTGGAGCTGTGCCCCTCTTCCAAGTTCTGTAAAAAAAGAGGATGGAACGAGATTAGGCATCAGAACATGAGGAGAGTAAGCCGGAAATGGCACCTGACCTACAGAAGGATACAATACAACGAAATCAAAAAGCCTCAGTATGCAATGCACTAGCCACGGAAGTCATTATGCAGAAGATCTGTTTTCCCCTACTCCCTATTTTAGCAAACGTCCCTCGGCTGTTTGGCGCATGATTAACCTCTAGGGGAGAAAAATATATGAGACATCAGATTCCTTCACAAAATGGTGTTCCCAGCAGAAAAATGACTTGCGATCCCTTGCTCTAGAATAGCCCTGTTAAGCTCCAGACGCTTGCATCTAGTTACTAAAACTGTCTGTAACTACCCCAATCAGGAAGTTAGAAACAACTCTGTATAGTTTAAGGCACTGCATTAAGAAAGGAACGTAAATCTGGATATGACTTTGAAATTTATCACTTTAAGCGAAAATCTCCATTACTTCAGACACAAAAAAAGGGAGGTGAACACCTGATAAAAAAGGGACTGTATACCCTTGTCTCTTAAAAAAAAAACAACAAAACTAAGAACAACACAACTATAAAAGCTAGCTTTCAAGTTTCTCATCAAACTGAGAGTTTGAAAAGAAGATAAAAAATGACCTCACTAGCAGAAGTGTCACCTAAACAGAAAGAAGAGTTAAAAGCCTACTCTATCTTAAAGGCCACAGTCACTAAGATTTTGTAAAAACCGGAATTATCTTACAGCTGCTCCACATTTCAATGTGACAAACCGCATAAGAAGTAAGGTACCTTTTTGGACGTACCTTCTGCTTTTCAGGAACGTCCTCAAGTTCTGTCTTTCTCTTTTTCTGAGTGCCAGCTCCAGCAGAAGGCTCGTCTTCTGGAAAATCACCAGGTTCCAGCCTTCTTTTCCTTGAAATGCCTTCCTCATCACCAGAACCTTTTTCCCCCAGGACATTTTCAGCTTCGAGTTTTCTTTTCTTCAATGAGCCCTCTTCCCCACCACTTAACCTTTCCTTTGCAAGTGTTCTTTCCTTGGATGGCGTGTCTCCCCTACATCTAGAACCTTCCTTTACAAGATCACCTTCAGACTCCATTTTTCTCTTCCTTGCAGTGTCCACTTGCCCACAGGTAGGAGGAGCCTTTTCAGAAAGCCCAGCCCCAGAAGCAGTTGTGTTTTCATTAGTACCGAATGAAGATTCTGTTTCTGTACCTATTGATGCTTTTGCCTTTCCATAAGAGAGCTTTTCACATTCCGCTGTGTTTGCAGAAGTTTCCATTCTTGATTACACAGGAGGCAAAACTTCATGAGTTAACCCTGGAATGGAAAAGATTGGACATTACATGTAATTACAAGACGCTGACAAGTTTAACCAGACAAGTTTAACCAGACAAGTTTTCGACAAGTTTAACCAGAAGTTAAGCCACTTAACTGCAGTGATCAACTGGAAGTTTAAAAAAATATCTCACTTTAGAGAGACTAACATTGAAAACAGCGTTAATTGCTATAAATTACGCAGGAACTCCTGCCTATGCTAACTGCAACCCACAAACACTTCAATCTTATCCCCAAAAAATCACTATTAGCATTAAAACTGACAAAGGAAATGGGGATACACATGTCCTAGTTGCATTTCTACGGGGTCCTTACACTGTATGTTTGGACACTGTGTGCTGGCCCCATACCAAACCCATACAGGCACAGTAAATCTGGAACTGTCAGATATTTTTCTCTTCGCCTTGAGATACCGGGGAAAAAAACAATCCAACCAACTGACCAAACCAAACCAGACACCAAGGGCACCAAGAACAGGAAAATTCTGGGAACCCACACTGGACTTCTGAAATCCTTAGCCGGTAACAGGTGTCAGAATTAAGCAGAAAGTGAAAGGCATAGAATTGACTTTGGACAAGAAGTTTACAGACCTGGCCTGCATCTTAGAGACCACTTCTCTTTCAAATGTTCTCAGGTCTAAGGTTGTAAAGCTGGTTGGGTGGTGGGGGGAGGGGGGTGGTCGGAGCGGGAGAGAGAAGGGAGAGAGACGCTGAACTATCCAATGGACAGGAAGTGTAACAGTGATCCATTCGCTAAGTTCAAGAACTTTATTATCTCCTAGTTCAGAGGAGCTCAATGAGCGAGGCACTGTACCCATTAGGCCGGTTTATACCACCACTACTAAAATGGTAAGTCTCTTAGTGAAATCAAGTAGTGAAGGGAGAGTAAAAGTCTGAAAATCAATGAGATTCAGCATATTTGGAACCTGAAGGTAACAGAGGGCAAAAAGTCTTCTGACAACAAACCGAATAAATACAATTGCTTGATGGAGTAAGTTATGGAAAAAAATTACAGTAAACCGGGAAGGGTTTCAAAGGCTATTAGTTACAGCACCCGAGATTTGGGGTAACACAATACCAGTACATGCCAAAACAGGAAAAACGGAGTAAGAAGCAAAAACAATCAACTGAGAAAAGTAGTTTTCAGATAAACTACTGTATTTAATAAAACTGCAATTTAGGGCCTCCCCTGTGGTGCAGCGGTTGAGCACTGGGCTGCGAAGCTGCCTGCAGCCTCTGCAGCCCCGGTTCCATCCCTGGCCACGGAGAGGGTCCCACATGGCGGGACAGACCTCTCCTGCCGCCCGCTGCTCCCCTCAACAGTGTATTTCGTCAGTCTGCCTGCTCTGTTCCCCTCTGGCTCTGGTGAATTCTCTCACCCTCCCGTGCTTCTGACTGTACCCAGTGCTTGTATAAATAAATAAATAAATAAATAAATAAATCTTTAAAAAAAAAAAAATCGTAAAAAAAAAATAAAATAAAAAAAATAAAACTGCAATTTAATAAAACTGGCACCGAATTATCAAATCCCTGGCTCCCCCTTGCCATTCACTTTGTAACATGAAAAGTTAGTGTCACATTCAAATACACCAATGTGATTTACCACTTTTTGCTGGAATTGTCCCCCAAGTTAGTATTGGGAATACGAGTGAATTTGCTTGATACAAGCAAGTTTCTTTCAGCAGAGAAGTCATAAAAACACCAGTCAGAATAAATGACACAGAATTCCAAAGGACAGCAGAAACGGGTAAAAACGTTTGAACCCAGGCGTCCAAGTGGAAAAATGTATAAACTACAAAGGGAAGAGCATTGCCTCTGAGAATCCGCCAGGAAGGAGCTGAGGGTGGAGTCAACGGACACAGAGGAGGACAGAAAATACAAGGCCCCACAGGCACCCTGATCTGCTTCTCCAGCCACCCCTCCGAGGCCGGCCCCGCTGGGGTCACTTTCCTTTCTCCGAGAACGCCCCAGCAGGGCGACCGGACCGACCGCCGGGCTAGACGCTCCAGCAGGATGAGCTCCGCTCGTCCGCTCGCTCTGCAGATGGGGTCAGTTTGGGGGTGGGGGAGCCCGAAAAGGACACCGCACAGGCAAGAAGGCAATTCTTGGGCTAAGTTCACCCTCTTCCGTCAGGGTGCGGCCCAGCCTCAGGAAACCTCCAGGGCAGGTTTCCGACCCCCGGCACGGGACACGCAGACGCTTCTTCGGCCGCGACAGCCCCTCCCGGCCCGCCCTCTCGGGGCGACCCCGGGCTTCTCCAGACGCGGCCCGGCCCGGCCCGGCCCCGGAGCAACAAGGCCGCGCGTCCACAGGAACCGGCCGTTTTGCCTCGGGCCGCGGACACCGCGGAGCGGCGCGGAGGCACCGAGGCACTGTGCCGTTGGCGGCGAGCCCGCCGTGCGGAGTCTGCGCTCACCTGGCACCTGGACCCTGGAGGCGGGGCGCAAGGCAAAAAGAGAAGGAGCCGCGCCGCCGCCGCGCCGCCTCGCCGCCGCAGGCCCGCAGACTGACTCTATTTGCGGAAGCGGTTTTCCCACGCTCCGCGGCCGTTGTGTCGCCACTTCCTGGCCGGCGCGGACCACGTGCCCCACGCGGCGGCGAGCGGCGCGGCGCGCCCCGCCTGGAACTACAAGTCCCGTGGTGCTGCGCGTGGCGGCGCGCTGAGGCCGCGCGGGCAGGCGCCGCGGTCGCGTGCGCGCTGTTAGTGGGCGCGGCGCCGAGGGAGGCGTGCTGGGGGGCTCGCGTCGGGCAGCGTCTCGCAGATTCCGGCTCCCGGACCCGCCGTCGGCCTTGCCACTCTCCCGAGTGACACGGCGTGGCCTGTGAGGAGCCGTCGTCCGGCCCGCGCGGCGGCGGCGGCCGCACAGTCCTGAGAGGTAGCCTGGGCCCGAGATCGCCAGGGGGCAGCGGGAGGCCCGAGGGCACCTTCAGCCCGGCGCACGCTGGGGAGGTGACCCCGGCACGAACCGCGCAGCCGGCCGGCGCGGACAGCTCCTGGGCCTGGGCGGAGGTCAGCCGGCGAAGCGGGGGCGTCCACGCTCGGCCGCGCCCCACGCCGGGGACCGCAGGAAGTCGTGACCTCCGCCCTTCCCTGTCGGGCCCTGTGCGTCTGTAACTGTGTCTCAGCTCTCTGCTCTGTGCACTTCACGTGTGCTCCTCCCTTGCTAGGAAGACTGCTGAGCCGGAGGCCGGGGGGGGGGGGGGGGGGCGTGAGCCCGCCCCCGGCCCCCGGCCCCCGGCCCCCGGCCCCCGGCCCCCGGCCCCTGTCCTAGCGGTCGTTTTAAAAATGAGCAACGTCTTATTTCTCCTGAGGGCCTGGCGGGTCCGCCCCTACCTCGTTATTTGGAAACCGCGCCATTTATCTCCCTAGAGGGGGGCGGTTCGCATCTGGAGAAGCTCCTCAGGGTGGAGTGTTCCGTGTTGGGCTGGACTTGAGTGTGGGAGGTTTGTCTGTTCCCCCGGATTGCCACTGGCATGTCAAGTCGCCTACTGTATACTGAAACTCAGGCGCTGTGGCTTAGGCAGACTCTATGGTAGGCAAGAAACGGTGCGGCTTAAACAGACTCTACGCTAGTCAAGAGATGGTGCCGGCTAACTGACCTTATTCAGAACTAGAAGTTGGCTGGCGCAGCCGGCGCATAGATTTTGGCCCTTTCATGTTTGGTTTCTTGTGATCAGAGAAAATAGCTGGATGGGGAAGTTCTCTTGTCACAGTACGAGCGCCACTCGGGAATCATCATTTTGTCCAATGATTTGATCGGGCCTTGAAAAGTGCCCGGCAGGTGCCAAGTTCTCAGTGAATCCTAGTTGGCGTTACCAAGGAAGGTTTTGAAAAATTCACTTTTTAGTGGACATGACAGGATTATTTAAACCCGTATGTGAAACTTCTTCCTGTACCATTTTGTTTATTTGGCTCATTACTTGCCCACTTACAAAGCCTGTTCTCCTGGTTTGGGTTATACTTTGGTCAGTGAGAGAAGATGAAGTAGTAACTTGTAAGTTTTCTGGTCCGAGGAAAGCAGGCAACAGATTCAGTCGATGCCATTCCTCTTTTTACATCGTTCTCAAACTAACGTGCTCTTTGACAGCACTCAGGTATAATTTTAAAGTGTGACTTCTGGTAGAGGGGTGAAGATCACATTTTTGAACACAAACTTCTTAAAATACAGACAGAAGGTGATAGCTTCCTAAGAATGATGGTGTTCTTGGAGGTAGGGCACAGAGCGGCTTATGCAAGGATTGCTTCTCCAGACTGTACCTTCAGTCCATTCACCAAAGGTTTACTGCCATTTTGGAACACTTAAGATATTCTTGCTTACAAGGGTTTTCATATCGTTGAGGGACCATTTGGTTGACTTTACTATGTGTGATGGTTAGTTTTATATTTCAGTTTGACCAGGCTGTATTGTACTGTGTTATTTAAGTGAAGACGAATCTAGATGTCGTGGTGGTATTTTGAAGGTGTTGAAAACATGTGTAATCAATTGGCTCTACATAACGGCAATTGCCATCAATGAGGGTGTGCCTCATACAAACAAGTTGAAGGCCTGTATTTCAAACTGAGGTGTCTCAAGCAGAAAAAATGTTCCTCCACACAGCATCGATTTCCATGTCCCCAGTCTGCAAATTGCCCTACTCTTGTCAAGTTGATAGCCCCCACAGTTGCATGAGCCAGTTCCTTAAAACCAATTCCTCTCTCTATCTGCCTGTGTATTTAGGTAAATAATAATATAGACTTCTAACAGATCTCCCTCCCTGTCTATTTATCTAAACATAGATACATCTAAAGATAGATATGGGTATTTACGTTTTGCCTGTGTCTGGAGAATTGTGTTTTCTTTTGTGTATGTTCTTGTTGTTAGTACCATTTCTTTTCAGTTTATAGAAGTTCCCTTAACATTTGTTAATTGCAAGACTTCTTTTTTTAAAGGTTTATTTTATTTTTTTATGCATATGTAGGAGCTGGGGTGTAGGCCAGCAGTGTGGGGATGGGGAGGGGGGGAGGTGAGAGGATTCACCAGAGACAGAGTGGGGAGCAGAACAGGCAGATTGACTGAAATACACTGCTGAGGGGAGCAGCGGGTGAGACAGGAGAGGACTTAACCCCTTGCACCACCAGGGAGGCCCCCAATTGCAAGACTCCTTTAATGGCAATGACCTCCTTTAGTTTTTGCTTATCTGGGAAACTCTTAATTGATTAAACCTTCAACTCTGAATTTTTACCCTTGCTGAGTAAAGAATTCCTGGTTGGAAGTTTTTTCCTTTCAGTGTTCAGAGTTTGTTATGCTATTTGCTTCTGGCCTGTAACGTTGTCTTATTGTGGACCTCTTCGGGTTACTGTTGCTGGGAGCTCTCAGAGCGTCCCAAATTAGAGATGTCTTTGGCCATCATTTTCTCAAATACTTTCCTGGATCTTTCTTTCTTCTCCTTTTGAGACCCCTGTAATGCAAATATTGTTCCTCCTGATACTGTCCCCACGGTTCCTTAAGGGTGTGTTTGCTTTTTAAAATTAATCATTTCATGTGCTGCTCTGTCTGCATGAGTTCTAGTCCTTTGTTTTCCAGCTCATTCGTCCACTCTTCTATCTGCTTCATTCGCTGTGCTGTTGGACCCCACTTCTGTCATTGTATTCTTTAACTCTGTGACTTCTGCTTTGACCTCAAATTTTCTAGTTCTCACCCATCCTTTTCCTGATTTTGTGATCATCTTTTTTATCCTTTATTCTGAAGTGTTCATCAGGTTGTTAGCTAGTATTTGTTTCTTTGCAGTCTTTTGGGTTTTTTGTTTGTTGGTTGGTTGGTTGCTTTGTTTGGTCTTGCTCTTTCATGTGAGATCTCTTCCAGTGTATCCCCATTTGCCTGATTCTCTGGCCTTGTTCTGTGTATTAAGTCAATTCTGCTATGTCTTCTGCTCTTATAGCAATGGCCTTGTGCCCGTGCTGTCCCATGGGAGCCAAGAGCATAGTCCCCCATGACCAGCCAAGCTAGGACTCCAGGTTTGTCCCCGGTGCGGGCTGCACCCACCCTCCTGCTATGTTGATGTGGCACAGAGTCTAAGACTGTTGGACAAGCCTGGCTTTAGTGGGGTGTGTGGTCACAGCCAAGGCAGGTAATTGCGGTGTGCTCAGTGTGACAACCGTGGACCTGTGCTATCCAGAGTGTACGGCCCACGTGCAGTGGATTGGAGGAGCCACTGACCCTGATTTGTGTGCTCTGTGGTGTGCGACTGTGCCAAGGGAGCGTCAGTTGCTGGTCAGTGACCACAGTTACATTGCAGGAGTGGGTAGAGCTCTCAGTAAAGCTCATCCACAGTCCTCGTAGGCTGGGGAGAGGTGAACCCCTAGATTTTGATCAGTCTCTTTTTGCCAGTAGAAGCAGTCTTCCCACCCACTTGAGGCAGTTATCCCTGTTTGGCCTGAAAAAGCTGTGATGGCCTTCCCCAAGGAAGTTTCCTGATTCTTTTCAGGAGCTGCCCTTTCCACCCTTCTTTGCTTCTAGACCTATAATTAGATCCCGTTCTAGCAGATCTTCAAGGGTGACCTACAAAGCGAGACCAATGATGAGGTAAGCTACGGTCTCAAAAAGCTGTTTGATTAAAATATATATATATATAAATATATATATATATATTTCCTACGGACAGTGTTGGCTTAAATAAATAGTGGCAAACAGAAATTAAGTGAGTTTATTGAAGACTCAAGACTGAGGACTTGAGTCTGGGAGCAGCCTTCGGAGAGCTCTGGGAAAGCTGCCTCAACTTTGAGCTCTTCAATGCCAGTTTTATCCAACTTGCAAGGAAAACATTTCAAGGACCCCAGTGGGTGCCCAGTTGGTCTATCTATTTGATGTTGTCCGAGCATTGAGGGCAACAAAGAGGGTTGTTAAAATTTACCCTAACTCCTTGGAGCCTTATCTTCTGGACCCTCACCTCTCTGAGGCGTCAGTCTTCTTTGAAGTTGCTGACTCTTCTGGAAGTGGTAGTTTCAAACATGCTTCTTTTCCTCAGAGACGACATTTTCCAGAGCCAGGTTTCTTTATAGGGTCAGCCCAGCTGCATCCTGACCTTTTGCTTGTACCTTTTGTTGGGACCAGGGAGGGGGTACCCGCTTAATTACTCGCTTTGGTGAATCATAGAAATCTGGGGCATTTGTGTGAGAATGGATATGAAGGGTGTGGGGCTAATGGTAGAAGGGACTTAATATTGGATCAGACCAAAGTTACTGATAGAGGATCACTGGAGATTCTAGATTCACTGCTTTAACTTGAGGGACTGAAAAGGACCAGCCTTGTGGTTGGTGACTGAAACGTGAACCAAAATGTGGCAAGACTAAATGAAGGTGAAATGCCAGACTTGCCTTGGTACACTGTGGAGGAAGATACCCAGCAGTTGGGAAGAGGAGAGTAGATTGATTATGCAAGACCAGCTCACCCACTCTGGCGTGGAACAAAGGGGATCGCTGTCTTTCACCAGGACCATGAGAAATAAATTTGTGAGGGAAGTCC